GTAGAGAGATAACAGACTGTTAGAAGCTGATTTATGCATAGAAGTATGGCTTACACCTCTCCATTTTTCATATAGTATCATAGAATTTACCACGTAGATGTTTAATTGTTTTTGTTTTATTCATTTTAAGACCTTAGCCTCATGCTCATTCAGAATTAAATGTACTAATGTATTGTTTACTTAAGAATCTTTGTTTCTCCTGTGAGAAAGACTAAACAGAGATGTCAGACTAGTTTCTCTTTTCATTCACTTTTCAGCTGTGTACATCTAGTCCCTTTTAACAATCTGTTCTCAAATATCTATTCTAATCATTCCAGTTCTCGATCTATTATTTTTTTTTTATCATGCAGCTCTGAACCTCTGTGTTCACAGGTTTCATTTGCTCACTAAGTAGCACTCTTCTTTTCTTCAGATGCCATGAATCGTTTAAGCCTAAACTAGTCACCAGGCTGTCTTTATAGCCAGTGGAAGAACTGCCAGAAGGCAATCCATGCCCTTACTTTAGATGTCTGAGATGGTATGAATTGCTCTCTTGAGCAGTAGTTTCCCTTGGCTATAAAGGAAGCTTAGGGTGACTTTGGCAAACTTTGTGATGCTTAAAGTAAGTAAAATGAATCCTAGCCATATAATCTAAATTGAAAAGAGCATCGCAAGTGTTAGCTACTGAAAATTTTAAAAAATTTCTGTGTTTTCTTTAGACTGCTCTTTTTGCATACTAATGATGTTCTTTTCTCTGAGCTTTGCTAAAAAGTGACCACGGGATTGAATTCTTTTAGATTCCTACATTATGTATGGTTTGAACTACTCCTTCTTACATGCTCTGTCAACACTGAATTTAATCTGCCAGTGAATATCCCCTTCTTTTCATTTTGCTGTACCCCCCTGGAGATCTTCAGTTTTTCCTGTCTTTGACTAGTCTAAATAATTTTGTGATATCTGCATATTTTAGAACATTACTGATCACTCAAACATCATTATTCATAAAATTAACATTAACAAAAAGTGGCTTTTCTCATGCTGAAAATTTTGTTTATTTTCTGTCAGTTCCAAATAACATCCATGACAACACACTGCACTTCAGGATTATTTGGTGTTCTCATTAATATCTTCTAAGAGCTGTAAACTTGATTTTTGACAAGTCTTCTTTAACCATTTTTTGGCTGCTGCTCTTAAGGAAATTTATTTGACAAGAGAGGGAAAAATTTCCTTTACAAAAGAATCCTAATCTTCCATAGAAATATGTAACTCCTAAAACTGCTCCCTATTTCCAGTTCCATATTCCACCTATATCTTTAAAGACAGTTATGCTTGTGACACTCCAGTCTCCCAGTACAGCAATTTTGCTAAAATTAAAGGACGAATATTTCTTGATAGCAGTTCTGCCACCTTTTAGTGCATTTCTTCAGAACTCTTAATGGTTTACTGCAATGGGTCTCCAATTCAGCCAAAGCCCAGGGGTGGATAGGCTTAGGTCTTTAGCTCTCCACAAAAGTTCAAAAGGCTGTTAAAAGCCAAGATTAATTCTTTGTTCTAAAATCAGGAACTCATCTTTTAAAACAGAGAAAACTGAAAGCAAGTAGTTAACAGAGAATGGCAATATGGTTTAAAAGCTTTTCTCCCACTACATGTTGTAACTTTGCAGGTGGGTCTGTGCTTTCAGCTAATTCAGGGACTCTGAGTGGTAGAAAAAGCTGTTTTTTCACACTATCCTTTTCTTGTGCCTGCTCAGCTGGTCCTGAGGAGGAGGAGGAGGAGGTGGAGGAGGAGGAGGAAGAAGGAAAAAGGAGAAGGGAGAAAGAGCAGGATGAGGAAGGAGGCTTCCACCTCCTATCAGAGGCTTTTATTTTACCTAATCATTTCTTAAAGGAATATAGTATAGAACTGAGAGCACACAAAACAAATACCATCTGTCCCAGCCATGCATGATTAAAGCAAATTGTTGCTTTACATTTGTCAAGATTTTCATAGCATAACCTTGAGACAAGAGCTAAGAGGATATGGGCCTTGCTTTAATAGAATTGCATTTGATTTGACTGATCTGCCTAAATAAACCCCAAATCATTGATATTTGATCATCTGGATTTGTAACCAGTCACTGGTGCTTGTTCTGGAATAATGAAAAATTGGAGTTAAAAGTCACCACTTCAAAAAGTTTAACAGTGGCATGTCAACTGTGCTTATGGACCTCGTTAGCTACTTCCAAATGTATAATAATGTATCTTGGTGTAGCCTACTATGTAGTTAATCTAACTTTCATCACTTCCCACGTGCCACTGAGGACGTGCAATGGGCGGTCATTGCAGTGTGGCTGTTGAATAGTAACTTTTTAAGCCACTTGCTTCTGTGACTTGAAGAACAAGAAAATAAAATGCCACTTGCAGTGGATCTCAGGAGATTAGTGAATCCATCAAACACAATTAGATGTTCAAATTTTATATGGACCACTATAACGTTGTTCAATTAGAAATGAACTTGTAAACCGGAATTAGTAGAAGGAAACCAAGAACTCAGTGCAATACTGTGAAATTTGCTACAGAACTGGATTTTTTTCTGACAAGAATCAGCCATTTATCTTTAGTACTGAATCCTTTTTCTCATATATCTGAACTGTAAAGTGATTCTAAAATGAAAATACGTCAAAAACCATTTAAAATATCTGAAGGTGCTGAGGGAATATTTTATGGTAAATAGCTACAGAATAACTATTGCATAGTCCTCTTTAAAGATGAATATATAAAAGCTGGGTTTCCTTCCTGAACATACCTGCTTCCTGCATGGAATGTGTTTGCTGACTTAAATGACAAGAATGTTATTACAAATTATATACAAGACCTCACAGGTTTTTAAGCTCTTGTTGATAAAGCAGAATTAATGGTAAGAGAAGACAACTGCATAGTTCATTCCTCTCATTTGAGATCAATATAAACGTTCCCTAAATTCCAAGTACATAGCCAGTCAGACACAGTTAGGCCAACCCCCTGAGGATAACTAAAACTGAATTATTCTATATACATTTCTTCCTTCTTTGTGAAAATAAGAAATTACTCATTGCTGATAACAACCTTCAGTCCCCATCTCACCATGTCACCTGAGCTCAAGTATTCTGGTCGACGACTTGCACAGCAGTGATCCTGTCCTTTTTTGATGGTTGGCTGAGCAAAGAGATGAAGAACTCATGCCAATATGTCAAGGCACAGAGCTAGGTAGTTGGAATAAACCTACAAATTAATTTTACTTTTCTCAGTTTCTTTCTATTCCTCTGATGGTTATATAGATAAGAACAGACCTACTCTTGAGTGCCTAAAAATATCTTATATGTGGGAAGAGAAAGATAATCAAAAGAAAGACTGTTAAGATTATGCAGTTATCTAAACTAGCCAGTGCACAGCACAGTTTCTGATTCAATTGGAAAGTTGTTGCTGTTTCCCATTTGAAGCCATGAATATGTAGAGACACAGATTATTTAAATGTGTCTTCTTAAAACATCTTCTAGTGTTTTTTCTCATTTTTCAGAGGACAAACAGATCAGAATGCGGTACAACATGACAAGCAGCATGGGCTGTGCTCTTTAAATAAGCTCATCTTATTTTGTCATAAAGAGGCCATGGAACAAGAATTTCAAGAAAGGTACTGTCTTTTCTTTATAAATTTGTACAAGGGCTGGCATAATGAAGGACTAACAACTGGAAGAAGCTTTAAGTGGTACTACAGTGCAAACAGTAAACAATAGAAATAATAAATCTCTGGTTAAAAGCTAAAGTTCCCCATACTGCCTACTGAAATGTTTTAAACGTTTTAAGACTGCCACATTTCTTTTTGGTGAGTTCTTTGACATGTCTCCAATACAAGGCTGGGCCTTAGAGGGGCTAGTGTTTACAGTTCTGTCAGTCTAAATATGAACCGGGTAAGAATAATAAATAATTAATATTGCAAAGCAAGTTATATTTTTCAACAGGGACATTCCAACAATCTCCCTGCTTTATTCTGCCAATTAATTTCTAATTGACTATTTTCTAAGTAATTCTATTGACTTTCTGAAGAACTGAGTGACATATAGATGCAGGAAGATGCTAACTGAAAATCTGAATGAACTTATTGACACCAGAAGTTTTGCTACTAGACAAACATAAACTTTGAATTTGTTCATTACATAAAACTACCTTATACTTTTCTGGCATTATAAAAGTAGAGCTATAGAAAGATAATTGAATAAGGAATATACTAAGCAAAGACGTAATGCTTAGAAAATGGCTTTTCAAACAATTTTTTTTATTATTTTTTAATAAAATGCTGTGATATTGTAGAAGCATTTATGGCTACTAATAAGTGGAATTCAGTTGCTAAGAATCTTCATATTTGATACTTGTTATTATTTGATTATATTGCCTAGCAACATTCCAGTGATGAAAACAAAGTTTGAAAAATAAATCTGAATAAAATTTTGCATCTGTCATACATAGAAAAAACTGATGTAAAAAACATAGGCTTAAATTATTTTGACAACTAATAGATTTTTTAATTATTATTATTTATTGATTATCTGTCTATGTTGATCATTATCACATTATAACATGTGCAAAGACTGTTCTTTGAGTGAATAGAATATTAAAAGAGATAATGTCAACAAAATTATAATTTCCCAAGCTATTAAGTATATCATTATTATCTCAGTTAGCATGATTTTCTAAATTACCATTTGAAACACTGGATATCCTGGAAATACTCTAACATATATCTACAGTTCATAGTATTCTGATGAGTGTTTTCTGAATTTTATTTAGTCTGAAACTTTGCATTTACAACTTGAGATACAATTATGAAGTTCAGTGGGTAAGGCATACCAAGTGTCTTAAACCTGTGAGGAGATAACCAAGCAACAGAGATAATCTGGAGGAGGAGAAGCAGCCCAATCTGGATTGTGACAGAAGCAGCAGTTCTATAGTACATACTTGCAATTTCAATAGGTCATAAATCTGATAGAAGAAATTCCTATTTCTTACCTACATTTCCAGTCATTAGGTATGAATTCTGAAAGTCCATCATTCCCATTCCAACAATGTGTATAAAATCTTCAATCACCTGCATTAACTCCACTGAGCCTGGATAGATCTAACAAAGGAAGGTTAGATATGCCATTAACTATAATATCAAAATCTCTATAGCACCAAATTCAAATACAGTCTAAATGCCATCAAGTGAAATGTGAGACTTAATAGTCAAACTGCCCTTCCCATGTTTCAATACCAAACATTTTCTGTCACTGTAAAATAATATTCAACAATAATCATGCATCATCAAAACTGCATTGAGGGTCAAAACAGTTATTAATAAGCTTATAAATTCTGCTCATATCACATACATAAAAACTTATTTTGGGTTGTTATGGCCAGCTAAGAACAGGACAATTTTTAGTAATACACTATTTTGCAATAGAAAAAGGAATGGATGACCTGTTCAGTGCACTTTTTTCTTCATATCAGTGAGATATCCAAATTTCACTTTACGAGCAACATTCAACCTATTCTTTCTACTACTGGGACTACAGACTCTAAAAATTGCCTATAGAGTCTACCCAGCATGCTGCATTCCATCTTCATATTGCTTTATCTGCCTAGATCCATAGCTGCTTGGTCCAGGATAGAGAATTTCACAATGTGCTTTGTTTTCTACATGGATCTTTTTATAAAAGGTAGGGCAGCAATACTATTTCTATGAAGGATTTGTTGTGACATTTATGATCCTAACAGGTTGCAAATGCTGCTTCAGGTGAAGGAGACTTAACTTCCATTTTCCTAATGATAAGTTACTGACGTAGGAAATGTGGTTTTTGCATCCATCTAATTCACAGCACATGCACTCCCAGATTGTGTACTAAGGATAAATTTCAGTGAAAAGATTTTTTCACCCTAGTTCTTGCACATAAAATTTTATAGTAATAACTTCAGCAGAAACTGTTGAACAGTCAGTGTTATAGAGGTACTCTTCATTTTTATATAGCTGAAGTACTGGTTAATCAATAGCATGCCAGCAGATGGTGATGAAGAATATGCAGAACAGCTCCTGTGTTTTGAAACATCAATATAAAGTTATGCATTGTGCTCTTAACAAAAGCAAGTATTAAAGTGAGTGCTGCTTATCTGGATGCTATATAACCTGTAATTAATGGTATCAACTGCTGGCATTTAATCTAGGAAAAAGGATATGCTGAGGCATTGCAGCTGTATACTTGATAGAAAGTCAGTAATTTGCTGACAGTGAGTAAGATTTTCTTTCCAGCAAAGAACACAGAAAACAGGCTAAGAGATCTATGTTAACAGTAGCTATGGAGTTCAAGAAAAGCATGCAAACTGGAAAAAAAGTTGGTTAGACTTCCCCTTGGTTTGCCATGTTTTGTTACCAAAAAGGGTCAGCTGAGTGGCTGAATTGGAAACAGAATCATCTTTACTCTTTTTTAGTGAATCAATAGTGTTTGCACTAGATTGCATTCACAGCACATAATGACTTGTACATATTCTTTTCAAGTTCAGTTCTTATCTTGATTTTGTTATAAAAATGAAAAAAGCCTTCTCAGAGGATGTAGTAATTTCAAATAATATTGTTTCTGTTTTAAAATAAAATTAAATTTAGCATAATTTTTATTTTTTATCCAAAATATGATATAAAATAATATTTTGTATAGAAAACCTTTTTTTTTTTTTTTTTCTTTTCCAATACTGAAGGAAAAAAGAATCTTATGAGTAGTTAGGAGTCCAGCTCACCTTTCCTAGCTCATATGAAGAGCTACTTGCTTCAGTGGTTTATTTGAGATGGATTGTGTAACTGCCCAAGAACAGCAACAAGACCAGAGGTACAGGTTTTTGAGGTGCTATAGCTCAGGAGTCTGAATTTAGTGAATTCCCCAGCTTTGTTACCATGTAGTTATGGCCCCACTACTCTTGTGTTCAGCCTATCTTGGTGTTTGGTTGGGTCCCTGACTGCTTATTTGTGCTGTACTCAAGTCTACGAGACAATGAACTACCAGGCAGAGAGAAGGAGCTACAGAAAAGTAGAGAGAACTGGAAGTTTGTTGTTCCTTCTTTTACCTCCATGCTCTCACCATACCCTCTCAGGTGTTATGAGCCCTTGATCTTTGTGGGACAGGTGGTGGACATGGCACTGGCAAGCAGTCAGGGTGGAGGTTGAAAAAGACAAGACTGATAACATAAGGAATGGTATCCTGTCTGTTCATTAGCAGGGCTAACATAGTTGCTTAATATTGGTTCCTTAATCTTGGTGCTGTTTATGGAAACTGCCCACATGCATGTGATTTTCGGGCTTCCATCCACCATCACTAAAGAAAATGACATACTTTGTCTGTTTTTGTAGCTGGCTCTCACACAAAGAAAAACAACAAAAGAAAAATATTATTGCTGGCTACATTACAATGGGTCAGCTGCTGCATCATGTCTACTGCAAGGTTTGAATTGGTAGTGGAAAGTCCTGATCTTCCCTTTCTTAGTCATATCATAAAGATGAACTTACAAAAATGAAGTTAAATAGCTTAAAATGCCTTCAAACATCTACTGATTTACTAAGAACCGCATTAAAAGTGAACAAATTTAAAGTGTCTATGTAACACAGTGGCAATGACCATACAAGAACAGACCAACGATCTGTGTAAGCTCTTTTCATGCCTTCAACAGTGGCAAATAACAGATGTCTAAGGAAGAGTATAAAGGGGCATGCACATATTGATTCTTTCGGAATTGTTGCTCATCCTTTAGCACTTCTTTTGTCAAAGGACCTGCTTAGGCAAAACCAGGATCTTTCTATGAACAGTCCTATAGTAACTTTTCTTTCATTAATTTGTCTATTTACTTTTTTAACCCATGTACTTTCAGTGGCAAGAAGTTTTGCAACCCGACTTTCTGTAGAAAAAGTATCTCCTAGTACTCATTTTGAATCTGCCACTATTTGATGTCCTTTAGTTATTTTACAAGAAATACAAGTGAATATATTAATAATTCCTGCATCACATTTCCCAATCCATTCCTGTGTTTAAAACCTTCTATTGCACAAAAGTGTAGTTAACTTTTTTCCGTTAAACAAAACAGAAATATCTGCTTTGTTTAATCATTCTTCATATACAAATGTTTCACTGCTTCTGACTACCTCTACACTTTTTCCTCTGTACATAATTATCTCTTCAACCCCATTTTCACTGTTACTTTCATCTGAATAAACCTGGTAGTTCTATGGTCAGGTTCATGAATGTAAATATTAACATTGTCCTATAATGGTATAGGCAAGTAGAAAATACATATATCCAAGGAAATAAAAAAGGGTTTTGATTTAATTTTACACTCTTTTGTTATAAATTAATTATTTTTGTTAGGCTTTACTATTTTATAAAGTGTTATCATAATATCTAACTTAGTCCTGAAATTTGTCACTCTTAAGGATCAGAATTGTTCCCATAAATACAACCTTTTAAAAAAGGTCTACTGTTTAAATTCCTGTAAGTTCTTTGATGGTGCTGTATGAGTTCTCATGTGTTCTGTTTAATAAAAGCATCATTTCGGCTAGCCTTCAGTATAATTTTTCAGTTTTCATATGTATTTCATATAACATCAAAAGGAAAAACATAATAATGCCATGGAATGCAATGGAAATCTATTCATCAAGAGAAGCGCCTCATATTCTTATAATTTTAGTCTAAGGAATTAGCCAATGGGTCCTGGAATTACTCCTTTTTGAAAAGCATCAGTTATTCCCAAAATATTGTCTTGCTTAGGATTTCCTTTCATCTGCAGCAGGATGTATGTTTAACCTGATGTTTGAAACCATATATTCAACTTTATCATGACTTACTGAAATAATGTGCAGCTACTGATACAGTGAATGTCATAATACAGTTTCCAATTTTTTAAACTGATGAGTTACATAATGCAAACCTTACCTGTTGCGCATCTTCCCATTTCTCTTTGTTTTCTTCATCTAAGAGGTTACTAATGATTTGAAAGAAGTTCTGAAAAATCAATTAAATAAAAGACAAAGTAAAATTACTTTCAGTGACAGAAACAGTCATATCCTTAAGTTGACATTAAGAAAACTTTTCTTTCTATCACAGATGCAGTTCTGCAGCCTATTTTCTGTCAGTGGAAGAGATGAGATAACAAAATAATATATTAGACTGATAAAAGAGAACATATATTTTATGGTTAATTGTTAATTTCTGGACATATAATCAGGTTCCACACTACTGCTCTGAATAAAATGAGAACTATTCTTAACTTGCTAAACTTATAAATGTGATGGTGCTCTATTTTCAAACTGCTCTCATTCCAGAAACTAGACAACTATATATTTTGCAAATAAACAAAGTACACTATGAAAACACTAAGATCAGGGTCACTAGTTTCTACTCAAAACATGAAAATTACTCATAATTAATATAAATAGAGCATACAATAGTATTTAATTCATAAATGCTGTGTGAAACCAGGTGCATCTTACTTTTTAAAAGTTACATTTGCCTCTGTCCTTTTAGAAATTTCAACAGAAAAGGAATGATTAATTTCTATTTCTTTGGCCTTAAACTCGTTTCTTTACTTGATTCTTCTATTCATTTAACCATAAGGAAAAAAACATTTAGCCTTTATCTTTTAAATCACTCATTAAATTATGCATTTTAAAAATCAATTTATTCTAAGTGTTTGTGGAGAACTTTCCTTTCTAATTTTGTCTGCTCTCTCTACCAGTTTGCATTCCCAACTTCTTTATCTTTGTAAGCTATGAATTTGTGCAGAGTCTGTTCTTCTCAGCTCTGTATCACCTTTTGTGCAGAATGTCAATTTTGGCTACAGCCTGTCAAATATAATCGATCTGTTCCTTCATAAAAGATACATGTAGTTTCCACTGACCTTATCTGAAGAATGCAACTAAGATCCTCGCAACCTCTGGAAAAACTTTTACTGGAATACCAACCATAGGACCCTATTGGAACTCAGATTAATGATCATTCCCTCACCTGCACTTACTTTTTAACCATTCTGAGGGGATACATCGGCCTTAAATAAGGTTTAAGTAAAAAACTTTAACTTACTGTTTAATGGAAGTGCAATGCATTCAGCTGCACAGTAATTAAAATGAGAGCCGAAAAAACTTCCAATCTTAATGTACTATAGACACTGTGGTTGTGCATGAAAAGACATTAATTTAAAAATATGAGATAGTGTATACATTTTAGGTGTCTCACAACCACATAAGTAAAACATTGTAGGATACAAAATTTAATAAAACTTGTGAAAACTACTTTTTACATGAAAACTATTTTTACATAAAAATATTTATACCAGTTTAATATAATCCTAACACTAACTACTTGGCGAGTGAGAGGATACATCTTTGCCTTATCATTAGGAAGTTAATTATGTTAACCATAAAATTTATATGGCTAAAAATTGCTTTAACTTGAAAAATTTAATATAGAGGTGACTGACACTTTGGTGAACTTGGGCAAAAGAATTCTGTACATTAATGAGGGCACAATTCTTCTCTCACTGAAGTCAGTAGCAAAATATCCATAAGCTTGAGGAACACAAAACTTCATGAAAATAAAGGAAAGGGCTCAGCAAGTTCTTGTGAAAATTACAAGTATGCGTTGGGACAGGATGATGGTAATTAAAGACAAGACATGAAAGGAAAATGTTCTCATGGTTTGATCCAATTTGTGGTGATACAGAAAGGAAATTTTCAGTCAAGCTGAAGATAAGAAGAGGAAAATGCAGCTATGTATTGCTTATGTACCAAGAATGCCTGTCATCTCTTTTAGATATTCAGTAGCAAAATAGAGCATACTGAAAAGAGTAATTTAGTATTCATTACAAAGCATTTGCCAGTTTAACTAGATTGGGAAATCATAATTGTGTAAATGCAATGTCAGCTAGGAAAAATGTACAGCTTTATTGGTCCCCCCAGTAAAATAAACTATACTGGCCAAAGCATTCATGGCACTGTAACCACATCTACTCTAGGACATCATGATTTTGGCAAAGAGTTCTGCTAGGTAGAGTCAGGCTTAGGGTGATTTTGCCTCAGGAAGACACTTTTTAAAGCATGATAGTTCTGTGCTCTTCCAGTGTAATACTGTGGAGATGTAGTGGACAGAAATTTTAGCTAACTAACTTGTTAGGGTGCCAGCAGTAGACTAGCTGCAGCAGCACAGAGCTCAGTATGGGATAATTTATCATACTAAGGACCTAGTTCAAATCTAATTTTGCACTACATTGCAGCACCTGATTCCCCTGCAGAAACAGCCTAAGCCTTAATTGCAAAAGTGGCTGTGTCCGTGTAATGAGATCTATCTCAGAATAGCCTAGATTGCCTGAAAAATCACTCAGGAGGTATACGTTTCTTGTAGATGATAAATTCTACAGTTTTGCTAATAATGTTATGTGTTCATTAAATCTTATGTTTATTTTATTTACATGAAAGGATTAAAATGACCAATATTTAATATCAAAATATGTGAAAAAGTTTATAATTAATCCTAGATGCAAGCATATACAAAAGATGAGCAACAACTGATTTGATATGTATTTTGTACTTGCCAATAAAACATAAATGATGCATATGAACCTAGTAACAAGAATATCTTGCTTCTTGAGACCATTTTTTTCTCTGTTTCTATCTCTGGTTGATGTCATGTTTATGGTAGCAGTGGAGGCTGAGATGTATGAGGATTTTTCTGTCAGCAATAACAGTGCTTTGTAAATTAAAGATACATGATTAAATGGCTTCGCTCTTGCAATAATGAATAAATATGAGATGCACTCCAAAAATGTGACAGAGAAATAGGGGTTAAAAAGTCTTCCACCTACTTTGACTATTCTCTTGTTCATTGCGTTAATGCTGCAAGAAACAACATTGCCCTTTATTAAAATGATTGACAGGTAGCATTATGGATGTGATCTGATGGTATTACTGCAGTAAACATTGGATCTCCTTGTAGAATCAAGCTCCTTCCTTTCATGGCAGGGCTTACATATTATTGAACCGGCCACTATAGAAAATGTTGTGACAGCCAGAGTCAAATTTTGAAGCCCTTTATTTTTGCCCAGGCTTTTCTGAGGATAATGCCAGTTACAGTCGGGAATGGACAATTATGTTTTTCTAATTTAATTTCCTTCCTTTCAATCTTTTTCTTCTGTAATACCATGGCTGCAGTTCTCTGTTCCAGTCCAAGTTCTTTGACCCTCTCTGCAGGGATAAAGCTGTTATAAATCCTTTTATACAACTAGAGAAGAATTCCTCCCTAGGAGGAATTAATGGATAGCCTTAAGTCACCTCCACTTTTGGACTTCAGCATAGAGTGTGTGTGGGGGGGAGGGAGAAGGTGGGGGAAGAAAGCATTGGGCAATCCTGTTAATCCCTGACTGACAGCAACAGTCCCTGTGGCTGATATAAATGGGATTATACCGCTCTAACTTCTCTGGGGAGAAACCTTGTTTCCCGTTGGTCACTGGATCAGGGTATTGTACAAATCACTTTGCCATCTTGTCCTGAAAGGTAGTTCCTTTCCTGCCATCCTGTCCTTAGAAGGTAGTTCAAGCACTCTTCGGCCAGTTCTATAAAGTGTCCCAAAATGTTGTTTACATGCTTATTTAAAATTTTAATTACCTTCCAGGTAGCATCCTTCTTACACAATAGCACAGTGGCCATCTCTTAGCCTCAGTGTACCTACACAGTGTATTTTAAAGTAATTCCCATGTTGAGAGAAAGTTGTTGCTTGTAGAATAATTGCATGACTCTTGTTTTCTGCTATTTCTGGTACTGTACTGCTGTTTTCAGTCATTGTTGCAGGATACCTTCCATCTTGTTTAACTGTTAACTGCCATCTTGTTTAACATGGTTATTTTTCTTCCTGACACTGTATATGCAATGTATACATAAATACTGTTGCAAAAAAAAAGGTTAAAATATGCTAAAAAGGTTAAAATATGAAAAAAGAAAACCAGTTATGTAATAAATAACTAGACATGCATATTTTAGAAGTTTTGTTTTGCTCTCAGTATCTGTCTGCCTCAACAAGTGGCTTCTTCTATGTATCATATCAGGTAGTGACATCTCTGTTTTGAGTAATTAGCCTGAAATTTTCAAATTTGATCTCACTTTTCTGTTCATTCTTTTTGTTATGGAGTCTCTGAATCACATCTTTTGCACTATTCATGAATATTAATACTGGATATAAGCCAGAGTTTGTAAATAGTAGAGGAACTATCCAGATGGATGAAATGTATAATAAACAAATATACTCAGATGTACACATTTTTCCTTTCTCAGTTTTAATAGAGGTGGAAGTATTTGTTTTTTTATGAACTTTTAAAAATACTGTTACCCATAATTCATAATCTACCTTTCTGACATCATGTGAAATTATAAATTATGACTTTCATGGATTTTAAACCTCACTCAGTTTTTTGGGAATTTGTTTAAAACAAAAACCCAACACCTAAGAAATTCTACTCTATATAATGCAAAAAATTGAATGGAATTAGAACACCCCACAGAGCTTCCTCAGAAAGAAGAATCTTGGTATTTTTGTGCAAATTTAATTTTCACTTTTTTGTCACTTACTTTGATGATGGACTAGGAATTATGAAAATATGTAATAGTGAAAATAAAAAAGAAATACAATTCTTCAGATTATGGTAGCATATGACATATGTTTACATATGGGAAAAATTTTGGTTTCTCATAAATTGACAGTAAAATTTGAACTGATGTTACCGAGCCAGGATTTCATTTTATATCATCGAAAGTCAGTAACAGGAACATTGCTTATTATATCCCCTGTGCAAAACATGTGCTTCATTCTGATTTCACATACTTTCCTGAACACTATGCACTGGTTTTTGGATTTTACCTTAGCTTGCAATTCGTTAAACTTTTTTTTTTTTTTTTTTTTTCAGTTTCAGTGTCTTTTTTTTCAGCTGAATTTACAAGCTCTTGCTACTTAGGCATCTAAATCCTGAAATACAGTTATTTCTTTCTTTGATAAATCCTTCTTTATTTCCTTCACAATATGGTTTACCAATTTTTGCCTTTTCTTATTTCTTCACTTCAAAATGATTAATTAAAAATTATTAAAGTAGTACTAAACATTTTGCCAAGTTCTGTCAGAATATTATTACATAATTTGGAAACAGCTCTACGTTGCTGAAGGGAACAAGGGAACAGAACTTTCACCAATGTCATTAGTTGGAAAAGAATCAAATTCTCTCTAGTGTATTTAAAGTGCTAATGACCTGATCCGCTAAGCCCATGAACAAAATCGCTTGTCCCAAGCAGTTTCTCAAGCCTGGTTCTACCACAGATTTCTGTAGAGCCTGTGAACCATGAAGAAGTCACTTTGGGCTGTCAGACTGTTAAATGCATGAAAAATTTTCAGTAAATAATACTCTGTTTAACAGTAAGTCTTACTGAAAGTAGAAAAGTATATTGACTCTTATACACATAAAAAAAAAAAAAAAAAAAGGATTGTCCAGCCAAAATACTTTTTGAAAAGCACTGTTCAAAAACTATTGCTTCCAGCTGGCTACAGGACAACATGAGAAACATTCATTTTATATGGAAGTTAATTTTTCTTTGTGCATAGAAAAAAAAGAAAATGAAAAATATAATGGCAAGATCTTGAAAACTTAACTCTGGAAAAATTATCTTCTCAAAAATACCTCCATTTATTTGCATGCATATATTTCAAAATGTATTTATAATCTACGCTTACCTTTACACAAACAAATACGTACACATGACTTGCATTAACAACTTCATTATTAATTTATGAATTGTCATGAAACTCTCTTTTCATAAATAATATATGCATCTACCTTCTTAATATTCTTTTTCAGTACATCTACAGTCTTTGAAAAGTGACTAAAATTCTCAGATATAGATGAAATCAATATCCTGATCTGGAAGTCCTGTGAAATATTTACTTTAATGAACATTACACAATGAATTGTGCAGCCCATTATGTAGAAATAATTACAGTGGGTTTATCTCTGATAGTATTTTAATTGTCCTCTTGCACAAGAAGAGTTAATATAACATGTGACACAGAAAACTCATATCAAATGTACTATCCGTCACTCTTGTGCACTTTTAATGAGTTTTATTTATTTGAACTGAAGCAGCAGTGCCAGAATTACATAACTAAATGCTGTGGATAGATTTTTGAACTGAAATGAACTAGAACAAACAACACTAGCAAATTGCTTAGTCCAAAAAAATACCAACACATCCCTATCAATCAAGCCAAACCTTGAAAGAGAAAGATAGAGAAAATTTTACAGAGAAAGGATTTTATATTTTTCACTTGCTGCCTTCTTCTCAATATTTGTCTCATTAAATGTAGCTGAGTCTTTCCCTATTTTACACTTGTATGTTAGTTTTAAGTGAACAATATTTAGTTCTATCATTCAGAAAATTTAGTTTCCTCAGTGGGTAAAACAGGTGACATGCAGTATACTGACATAAACTTCAACAACTGAAACTTTACCCTTACAATGTTCTTCTTACCTGCACCCCATCAGATGCAGGGATATAACTTGCTCTTTTAAATGTGTCTGTAACATTTCTGAGAATTTCCACAGAAATAAGTAGGTCCCCTGCATAAAAGTTTTTCCTCTGAGTTAAGTCCAGTAGTGTCTTGGTTACTTGGGACATGCCATCACCAGCCAACATCCTCTGTCCCTTGGCGAGGTGCTCTTTAATCTGTAGCAGAATAACAAAATGAGCATCAGAACCTACTTTACTGAGAAAAAGGCATGATAAATTCTAAACACAGCCAAAAATATTAAATATTAAAGCCATTATAACAAAGTTCATCCTGTTAAAGACTAAATAATAGACTATGATGACAGAATTATTATGTTTATCAGAGAGTCATGGATTTTTATATTGAAAAACTCTGAAGTTGTGTTTCGTCCATTTGCTTCTATTTGGACACCAGTAATTTCTCAACATCTGTGTTCTCAAAGGAATTCCATGGGCTGGATTGAGACTTTAATCTACTGCCATGATGTAGCAAGGAACTGGTCTTCCTTGGAGGAACAGATGTACAGCCACAGTTGCCACTCATTAACCAATGAAGAGCACTTAAAGGAGTAAATGATGAGGCAGTCCTTGTTATAATCGACTTTACTGTAAGGAAGTATATCCTTCATCTCTTCCAGCCCAGCTTGACTAGTCAATACAAGTGCAACAGTTAAGTGGAAGCTGATTATGGTGCTCTCTTCTGTAGTACTAACAACAGAAAGGTGCTGAGTTAGAACAATCCTGTTTGCGTTTTCATTGGAAATTAAATTATGAATTGCTCCTGTGTATCAGCCAAGAGAGCATACTTCAGTGGTAGTTCTCCCAGTAGAAAAAAAAAACCATATCCCAAACCAAAACAAATAAAAAGGTAGTATATGTAGTAAAAATAGTACAGTGATTAAAAGTTTCAAAATAACTTTCATTAAAGAAATTTAAAAGGTGCAATCATCCCCTGACATACATGATCTAAACACTTTTTTTGTCTTGAGATAAACCGGATATAAATAATATAGCTGGGGCTGGGTAAAGCAGTTGTTTCAAGTTATGTCTATGGCCATAAGTCATCTTTGTAGCAGCTGGGGATTGTTATGGAGCACAACAGGCTTGCCCAAACCCTAGAAGTATCCTTAAGACCTGGGAAAACACCTGCCCACTGCAGCATGGACACAGAATGAATCTACTCCATACCATTAGTACAGAGGTGCAAGTATAATTGTACAATCAAATACTTTCAACAAAAATTTCAGTGAGGAGAACTGAGGCAGTTAATCATTTATTTGTTTTTTTAACAAATATTTCAGCAGAAATGCCTCCCCTAATGTAATTAGGCAAGAAGCTTGATTACAGAAATCCTTTTGCGCAGTTTTTGTTCATTTTAGAAGGAGGCTTTGGAGCTAATCTTGTAGGAAATTAATAGTGGAGAAAAAAGTGTGAGAATGGAAGAAAGTTTATCTGAGTAAATTCAGGGGTCTGATACCATATACATATCAACTACTTTCTTGAGAACAAGCAAAAGCAAACAAGAACTTGATTTGTGATTTTTCCTATAAATTGTTGCTATTTGCCTCATCTGCTCACAGGCTAAAAGAGCATTAGCTAGCACAGTAACACAGAATAGTAGAACTTTTGCTGGAACTCATCCAGCTGTTCGTTGACCCCAGAGCCTATTTCCAGATTTTGAGAATTAACAATGTTCAGTGTGTCTTTAGTCAAGCCCAAAAGACATACAACATAAAAGACAGTCCATAAAGCTGAACTCCCAAATCTAACACATGCCTCAGGATGTACTGTGGGAAAGGCACGGAACAACTTGAAGGCAGATCTTAAGAGAAAACAAAGAGGTTCTTTTAATTCCAGTAACAACAGCAAAGTCCTCATAAAAGCTCTACTGTGCTCTTATGCTTGTATAAAACACTGGTAGGAAAGCCATCAAACTATTTAGCACGTTATATCGCATTATTTTGCTTCCTTTTGCTACACCTGTATGTTCACTCCCCCCATTTGTTTTTCCATGCTCCTGCAAGACTTTAAACTCACATTTTAAAGATGGCAGGGGACAATTTGTTGGTGGTTTTGGACCATGCATAGCACACAGAAGTCTTGGTCTCATCTGCTTTTGAAATGCAAATAATAAATTCAAATGATGCTAGTTTTGACTGGTTTTTAGGCTTTTGAATAAGTCAAGCTCTATTTTCAGTGAAAAATTTTACAAATCTCTAGCAGCAGAAGTGGGAGCTGTAGTATACCCTTTAGTGCTTTCAGCAAGACATTTTGATTGCTTTTGGACACAATGATAAAAAAGGTCTAGCAAGTGCTCACAATGCCACAGGACTAAATTATTACACCTACTTCAGAAGTAGCCAGGGTTGTGGTGCAGGTGGCTTAAAGTACTTCAGAATTATTGGCTCTTAAAATTACAGCTCAATTTGGAACTGTTTTTTAAAAAAAGCCATACCCTGAAAGCTCAACTTCCCAACTCAAGTACCCTTCCTCCTTTGGGCTACACCACTCATACAGACTTCACTCTCTCAAGTTCCAACACAGAAATTCCTTCCCTTGATCCTTAGCTTCCCATTAAGGCCCACAGTGCTTTGAGTTGGGCTAGCAGCATACCCTTAGAACTAGCATAACAAAACAAAAAGTTGCAATGTATTTAGGTAAGGAAAGTGGGTGAAAATTAGAGTTAATTAGTTGAAAGTTTTGACTACAGACCAGCAAGCAACATGCAGGGCAGGGTAAGAATTAGCACCGTCTTTATTATCAGTTTATTACCTAATGTATTTTCTTGTTGTAAGACAGCCTACAGCTCCTAAACACAACTTTAAAATCACAGGCCATTCACTCAGTTGATATAAATCGGCGCAACGCTAATAAAGCCAATGAAGATGTCCAGATTAGTATGAGTTGAAGGTAGTGGATTACTTGCACAGCTATCATGAGAATCTTTCAGTGTGAAAATACAGAATATGCTGATCAGCAGTTAGTATAATGTCTTTCTCACCATACTGCTTATTTTCTATGCTGTGGTCACTGTGATATTATGCACTGTCCAAGAAAGCTATTTTGGTCACCACTGTAGGTCCTTGTAGTTCTCTGTGAAGGTCATTTTTTAGTGGTCTTACAGGCAGGTTCATTAAAAATAAAGTTTATGAGCCGAGAGGTAGTGAAATGAAGCAGCTGTTAAAGTGATACTTCAGTTGTCAGCCCAACCTCTAGCTGCCTGCACTATATGGCTGCATACTTGAAAAATTACTGAAATGTTTAACTGGACTTTGACTCAGGGTCCAACTACCTCTGTCCCTTGATTTGTCAGAAAGTATGATATAATAAAAATGCCTCTTTACAAAGTCAAAGCTCCTAGGCTTCCAGCATTGGAGCACAAATTTATTACTGTATAGTAATTACTTCCAACTTAACAGCTAGACATGGTTTAAAAGGACAGAAAACAATGAACCCTCAAGAAACCTATAAAATATTGAAAAGAATGATTAATTTGAAGAGTAACTACACCATCATCCTTTTCCTATTATTTTTTAAGATGATGTTGGATTCATGTCTAGGTATTACTAATGATGTCATTAATATATTTTATGGTAGTGGGGACTATCAGAACCTGAATTAGGAAGCCTTAGATAGAAATGAGGAAAGATAGTTTGAAATAAAAATACATCCTGGAATTGCTCATATTCTACAAACCACTCTGCTTTGCACCTCCACAACCTAACACTAATATTTTGTAAAATATTCTTCATAATGCTCCTAAGATGTGGGACAGGAAGGAATATTCACATCACCTGCAAGTGCCACTTGAATTATATAACTGTATTAGAAACCTAAAAGCTCTTGAGAGTGTTGGTTCCTCTAGAGAACAACTCAGAGCACTGAAATCTTATCTTAAATGCTTTGAATCACATTTCTTGACATCTATGGCTTCTAATCTTGAGGCTGGAATTGATAGTACACCCTCAATAAATATGTTGCCTTCTATGACAAAGTAACCTGCTCAGTTGATGTGGGGTGAGTGGTGGACACTATCTACCTGGATTTCTCCAAGGCTTTTGATATGGTTCCCCACAGCCTCCTCCTAAAGAAACTGAAATGTTACAGTCTAGACAAGTGGTCTGTGTGGTGGGTAGGGAGCCGGCTGACAGGCCGCACACAGAGGGTGGTGGTAAATACCTCTTTTTCAAACTGGCAACCTGGCACAAGTGGGGTCCCCCAGGGATGGATATTGGGCCTAACACTGTTTAGTATCTTCATAAGTGATCCGGATGATGGGATCAAGGGTACCCCGATGAAGTTTGTTGATGATACCAAACTGAGTGAGGAAGTGGACACTTTGGAAGGGTGAGCCACCCTGCAGGAAGACCTGTATAGGCTAGAAGAGTGGGCTAACAAGAATCTTATGAAGTTCAACAAGGACATGTGTAAGGTCTTGCCCCTGGGAAAACATAATCCGGGAGTGCAGCACAGGCTGGATCTACCTGGCTGGGGAGCAGCTCTGTGGGAAGGGACCTGGGGGGCCTGGTGGACAACAAGTTCAACATGAGAGAACAGTGTGCTGCAGCAGCAAAGAAAGTCAGGAAGATGCTGGGTTACATCAACAAGGGCATCACTAGCAGAGATATAGAAGTCATTATCCCACTCTACTCAGCACTTGTCAGGCCACACCTGGATATACTGTGTTCAGTTTTGGCCCCTGATACACAAAACATATGTGGACAGGCTGGCGAGGGTCCAGGGGAGGGCCACAAAGATGATCAAGGGACTGGGAAGCCTGCCGTACAAGGAAAGCCTGACAATTGGGTTTGTTCAGCCTTGAGAAGACTTAGGGGAGACCTTATCACCATATTCCAGTATTTAAAGGGTGTCTACAAAGAAGATGGAGACTCTTTTCTTACAAGGAATCACATGGAAAAAATGAGGGGTAATGGGTACAAGTTACTCCTGGGGAGACTGCAACTGGATGCAAGAGGAAAATTTTTCACAATGAGAACAATCAGACACTGGAATAATCTCCCCAGGGAAGTGGTGGATTCCCTAACATCGGACACTTTTAAGGTTCATCTGGGCAGGGTGCTGGGCCATCTTGTTTAGACCGTGTTTTTGCCAAGAAAGGTTGGACCAGATCATCCTTGAGGTCTTTTCCAACCTGGTATTCTATGATTCTGCATTAA